TTGGGTCCAGTTTCTCTGGTTTTGTGTCTCTTTGTGTAGTCTGTGTTTAATTTGTGGTGTTTCGTGTCTCGTTTTTGCATTTTTTAAATCTCGTTTGTGTTGTTTCATGTTTTCAGTTTCTCCTTTTGCGTCTCTTTTGTGGTGTTTTGTCATTTTGGGTTGTTTTGTGTCTTTTAATTTGAAGGAAAGATGTTTCTTTGTGCAGTTCATCTGAAAACTGTCTGAATTTTTGTCCCGTGACTGTCGGACACAGCCGAGTCATTCATGGCTCCTCATTTGCACAAAGAAACGCAGAATTTTTTGTTTTTTACAGAACTTAATTCCTGCCAGCAGGTCGTTTTTGGTGAATTTTAAATGAAGACACGTGGCATAAAATGATTTGGTTCATTTTCCTGAACGTCCTTCAAGATGTGTTCAGGGACCGCTGGAAAGCGAACGCCTCTCAGGGTTTTTACGGGTTCTGCTCCAGTTAAATGGTGTCATCTGGGGTTTTTTGTTTTCACTTTGACGCCTCAGGCAGCAGTTAGCTTGTGGTTTTTCTGCCACGTGTTTTATTTCTACATTTAGAAAAGTGGAAGACGCCAGAAAATGTTGAACCAAAAATCCCTTCTGGCAGTTCATCAGCAGAGATGCAGATTCGCAGACGGGTTTTTCCGTCTCGGTCATATTTCATGTCAAAAAGCTTCATGCACATGTTTGAAAACTGTCATGATGATAGGATGAGTTAAAAACTAGACTCAGGAAGAGAAACGCTTCCCTTCAGGTCACAACATCGAGTTTTTCTGTCATCAAGCTAAATATATTTATTTGTTCTGCTTCCAAAACTGGAAAAACTCATAAAATGAGCAAAAACAGCCTCAAACGGGTCGAATCCACGAAACCAACCAGAAGGAAAGACGACAGGAAGAATCGCCCTTCAAAATAAAGCTCCAGATCCGGCAGGTGACGAACAGGTGAGTGGACGTGTCATGTTTGTTGTTGTTTACAGATCACATGATCGTTCATCACATCGGACGTCGTCTGTATTTTAACAAGAGGATCAAATATATCGTTTCTCTATTTTTCTTTTACTAGAAAGTCGCAGGATTGTCATCGTTTGATTTTAAAGTCGCAACAGAACGAATGAGTTTTTGTTCAAACACTGATTTTGTTGTAAAATTATTCAGTTTGTGTGAAATTTACAATTTAAGTTGATTCGATCAGTTTCAGAAACAAAAGATATTGTTTTGGTTTTGGTCTGGGTTTTAAACTTGTTTTAGACTTATTTGGGTCTAGTTTAAATTCTGTTTTGTTTGTTTTTTTGTTTTTTTTCTGGTTCTATTCTTGGCTTAGGGCTGGTTTTAAACTTGGCTTTAGGCTGGTTTGGTCTAGTTTAAAACTGGTTCTGGGTTGGTTTGGGCCTGGTTTATATTCTGGCTTTATTCTTGGATTAGGGCTGGTTTAAACCTGGTTTTAGACTGGTTTAAACCTGGCTTTGTGCTGGTCTTATCCAGATCACAGGGGGAACTTTGCGGCGATGTTTCGTCTTGCCGCTCGACGTTAGCGATCCGCGGCTGAGCGCTGGAATGTTAATGAGGCTGCCGCTCACCTGAGGCCGACGTGCAGCCGCTCACCTGCAGCAGTCGCATGTTTTGACAGCGCGTTGCGCTCCGACAGCCGCAGCAGGACGGGATGTGCTGCTGCCGAGGATTTATGGCAGTGGGCCTCATCTGTCGGGGGCGGCAGAGGGTCGGGTCTTCGGTTTCAGTCGCTGTCGCTCCGGGCGACGCTCGGAAGCAGGAGCTCACAAAGTCAGTCACACCTCCA